CGACAAATACTGTCAAATGCATTAAAACTGTGGATCGTGAGTTCAAACTCCAATAAGGTCGACTTAAGTCATGTATTCACATCCCCGCACAACAAAGTTGTAAAGGGAGTATACTGGAATCAGCTTGTCTGTCCGGACGTCCGGCCGTCACCCCTTCTGGCTGACCTGCATCCGTCGAATTGTCAAATCCGCCAAATAACTTAGGATTCCTTTGACCCACAGGCTTCATATTTTGGTATTTAGATTGGTCATGATTAGTAGATGATCCCTATTGATTTTGAGGTCACCATGTCAAAGGTCAAGGTCACACCGGCCTTGACTTAAAAAAAGCTTGTCTGCCAAATAACTTAACATTCCTTTGACCCACAGTCTTCATATTTGGCACGGTTGGTAGTCATGATAAGACGATGACCCTTATTGATTTTGAAGTCACTGGTTTAAAGGGCAAGGTCACAGGGACCTTGACTTCAAAAAGTTTGTCCACCCAATGATTTAAGAAATCTTTGGCACACAGTCTTTATATTTGGCATGGGATTGATAATGACCATTAGGTGACCGCTTTTGATTTTGAAGTCATTTGATCAAAGGTCAAGAACACAGGGGCCTGTATAACTAAGGCTTGTCTGATCAATTGCTTAAGAATGCTTTGTTAACAGTCTTCATATTTGGTTTTGAGCTTGTTTATGACTAGTACATGACCCCTATTGATTTTGAGGTGACTATGTCAAAGTTCAAGGTCACAGGGATTTGTACTATAATAAGTTTGTCTGCTCAAATGCTTAAGAATGCCTGTCCGCAGTGTATATATTAATATTTTCAAATTTGAATCATGAAGAATACATAATTTAGCAATACATTGGCTTAGTAACCTCAGATTTGACAGGGAGGGTGTCCTTGAGCTTTAAATGGCCACTGTTGATATGGACAAAGTGATAAGCGGGGATATTCACGCCAGGACAATGACAGTTCTAGTTAAATCTTGATTTTTTAAAGTTTTTAAGTAAAAAAAGTATTTATTTTTTATTTTATAATTAAATGCGATATTTTTGGCTAACAAAGCTAGATTAATTTACTTATTTAACCCATTACTTCATGAGCATTTTGTGAAAAATGGCTGTTTTCATTGAAAAGTCTCCTGTTACAAGTTCAAATTGCTATAATACTATAAAAACTGCTTCAACACTAATCAAACTTGGCACAAATGTTGACTGGACCATTGCCCTTGCAACAACATGCTCAGGCTTAAATTTTCTGTTACCATGGCAACGAGGGGACATCTCAAAATTGCCAAAAATCACTATTTTGCGTTGATTTTTTCCATCAAAATTGATTTCAAAGTGCTGCAACTTCTCAATGGATCGAGATAGAGTCAAATGCTTTTCAGCGTTGGTTACACGTTACCTTATGATCAATCTGGGGTCATTTACAGCCTCTCACAAGTCCAAAATTTTCTTGGCGATGAGGGGGACTCCGCCCCCCTTCAACCCCCCCAAACAGAAGGGGGCACATCCCCCTTCTGGCAACCCCCTGATGTATCTTTTGGTTGGGGGGCCGCGCCGAAAAAGAGGTCACTTTTTTAACAACATTTCTCAAACAAAAACAAGTGTTGGGGGCCTAAATAAGGCATTTTTTCATCATTTGAGACAACAAAAAAGGGGGGGGTGAAAAAGGCGTTAAAAGGCGTGTATATGAAGTAATGGGTTAACAGAAAATGATGAAAATACTTGAAATTACCCTAAATCGCGTTTTTTCATGTTTAAACATGGCCTGTCATATAAATTTGAAGAAAAATTGTTGTTTTGTAGATTTTTTTATTTTTTTCATTAACCCATTACTTCATGAGCATTTTGTGAAAAATGGCTGTTTTCATTGAAAAGTCTCCTGTTACAAGTTCAAATTGCTATAATACTATAAAAACTGCTTCAACACTAATCAAACTTGGCACAAATGTTGACTGGACCATTGCCCTTGCAACAACATGCTCAGGCTTAAATTTTCTGTTACCATGGCAACGAGGGGACATCTCAAAATTGCCAAAAATCACTATTTTGCGTTGATTTTTTCCATCAAAATTGATTTCAAAGTGCTGCAACTTCTCAATGGATTGAGATAGAGTCAAATGCTTTTCAGCGTTGGTTACACGTTACCTTATGATCAATCTGGGGTCATTTACAGCCTCTCACAAGTCCAAAATTTTCTTGGCGATGAGGGGGACTCCGCCCCCCTTCAAACCCCCCCCCCAAACAGAAGGGGGCACATCCCCCTTCTGGCAACCCCCTGATGTATCTTTTGGTTGGGGGGCCGCGCCGAAAAAGAGGTCACTTTTTTAACAACATTTCTCAAACAAAAACAAGTGTTGGGGGCCTAAATGAGGCATTTTTTCATCATTTGAGACAACAAAAAAGGGGGGGGGGGTGAAAAAGGCGTTAAAAGGCGTGTATATGAAGTAATGGGTTAATACCTTATATTTTCAAAGTCTTACAAAATTAAGACTTCCATGTTAAGGTATAACTATTTAAAAGTTCGGAAGATCAAGTTCGAAATTAAAAATGGACAAACATTGAAAATACCGGTTTATTTGTGTAAATCTTAGGGATGAGGCTCTGTAAGTAAATAAATGGGCACAAATGAACTAACTGGTTAGGTAGGGTTATAGTTTTATACATCTTTCAACCATTTTGAAAAGAAACATTCATTTTGCTTCAGTTATTTTTGAACTGATTTTTTTCTAAATCGTTATCATCAGGAACCTATTTCAAACAGATAATGTTATAGATTATTTAGATATCCCTTATATGTTAAAATATCCTTTGAAATACCAAGTTTTATTTAAAAAGGTGTCCATATCTCGTTACCTGTAAGGTAAATATTTTATCAAAATGTGCGTGCAGGTGTCCTTTCAAGTAATTAACTGATCTATGTTGTCAATTTTTTGTTCTATAGTGTGCCCATTAGGGGTATTTATAATTAGGTAAGCGATGTTAGGCTCAACATGATCTTGTTTCTTGATTACATATATGTGACATTTATTGCACCTTTAAAATATGAACAAAATATTACTTTCATTATTATGATTCCGTAAATATGGAAACGGCGAACTCTCATACTAGTATGTTAAAACTTATAATCCAACTGTAGTGCTTTATTTAAATTTCTACGTAATTTATGTAAATATTTTTACCTTTCTAGTTTAAGTCTTATTTATGCATGTGAAATTGTATCTGTTTTGTGAGCAAAGAAAACAGAGAAACCGATAGACTAGATTTTGACGAAGTGAGCGATTTGCTTGCCCTTTGATGTTAGCTATGAAATGAAGTTTGACTTTGTCAACAGGTAAAGACTTAAAATTGAACTTTGATACAAGCTGACCTAGATTTTGACGAGGCGACCGACTCACATAATTGTTACATTTACAGCTATGAAATCTTAATAATATGCACAGTTTAAGACGAAAAATTGAATTGGATATCAGCTGACCCAAATTTTACACGAAGTGTCCTACTTTCTCTTCCTTTGATGAACAACTATGAAGTTTGGATCATGTACACAATTTTAGATGTAAAAATGAACTGAAAATGGCTTTTTTATTTTTCTATAATTTCTTTTTAAGATTTGTATAAATCTTCGATTTGTCTGCCTTTAAAAACAAGTAAAAACGTCGAACGTTGACACATGTATGGTTATGTTATTGTGTAGCCATGGCAAATATATATTAATTTTAATAATTACTATTATCATAAAAAGAACGCTTGTATTTTACAGATTGCGAGCACTTAGAAATCATGCTTGCCTTTTTTCTTAAAAAGTCTTTATAGTTAATTAAATTCAGACTTATATCAACAGAGCAAGAAAAAATATTGAACATGAAAAATTACAATGTTCTGATTAGCCATCGTTTTAATATTTTATACACATTTGATACTTTTTATAATATTTGTGTTCATCGCGCATTATTTATGAATGCGTATATTTCAAAGAAACCGGTGCCTCCTTGAATAGACGCAAGGGATCGCAAAATTAATCGTAAAAATGGTAGTTTGGTAAACTACGTGATCTGTAACACTATGCACATGTTTTCTTATAATATATTCATCACAATAAGTCGTTTTCTTTACAGATATCCGAATTATGGATACGAATATCGGTTAACATGAGAAGATCAACGAACAGCTTTTTAAGATTTTTTGTTTCAAATTAAATTACTAAAAAGAAGTTAAATTATTCAATTGCAATGGTCAAAGATGTGGACCGTGTAATTAAACAACTTAAATACTTCCACGTGAGGCTAGTCATGATTATTTTTCAATGTTATAAATTAATAATATAAATGTATAATGTATTAAAATCCAAACACATTATCCCTTTGTCACGAAATATTGATTTTGAAGAAATTAAGCTTAAATGTTCTCAACTTATCAACTTATTTTTTTACGGATTTGGTTCATGTTTGGACAAAGAAATAATTATGTCAATACAATAATTAAAAAAAAGGAAACAATATGCTCTTAATTTTAAAATAACTTTGTCTGCTAAGGTCGAGTTTTGATGTATTTTGCTTAATTTTCAAAAAAACATTGATTCATTCCTGGACAAAATAACACTTATGGTATAACGGACATAATAAATATAAATAATTCAAATATGTCATTACCGATGTGTTGTATAAATTGATAAAGACCTAGCTCTGTAAATGATTTTGACTATCCGACAGAATAAAAAGTCGTTACTATATTTTGTACAAGAATATGAGATTCCCATTGTTCAATATTTGATGTGTTTAAACATGAAATCAAAATTCTAGCACGACCTTGTGTAATTTGTTTGAAATGAAATGACTTGAAATTCGTCTTTATGAACGGCGGGTCATATTTCACTCATTTTTGAAACCTTGTTTTATGTTGCAAAACGTATAGTGATACTGTGTAATTAGGCTATCTTGAATATTGTTTGGTATTTTTATATGTTGTGCATATATCGCGAGTGCTTACTTCTGTAGGCATAATAATTTTTTGAATAATAATTTCTTGCGCAGTTACTCAAAAGACGTTATATACTTAATTTGAAATTTTATACAGCATATTGATGCTTTCGGTACCAAAGGTGAAATAAAGATAGCACCATTTGAGTAATTGTTGTTGGCATTTTTTACCCACGGCAAAACGTTATAAACCAAAACTCTTGTTGGAAAAGAATCATGTATTGCGTATTTACCCAAAAGATGTTATATCATTATGTAATTTGCAAAGTAATTCTGTTATATTAATACTTCACAGAAATCTGATGTGTTCGAAACTGATATTCTGAATTATGAAATTTACCAAAAAGCTTTATCTGAAGGTGAAGAAAATGATAACTCCGTTCGAGTAAATGTTGTTGGTAACTTCGCACAAGGCAAAACATCATTGACCAATATTCTTGTTGGAAAAGTATCGGAGAGCGTTCAGAGCACCAATAGTGTTGAAATAAGTAGCTGTGAATATTCAAGTGCTCACGAAGGAGTCAAGTTTTGTTCAAAGAGATCTTTATTGGATGAAAATGAATACCACAGACGTATTGCTTCAATAATACAGATTGGAACAGATGGGAACAAATCAAATCAAAATACAGACAATCCTAAATTTAATAAATTAAAAGAGGAAAGTGCAAATTCGCAAGGAAAAGTCCGAAAGGCAGGAGTGAAGAAAGATATAAGAAAGAGCTCCCTTAAATCAAGAGATTATCTTAAAGTTTCCAGGCTGCTCAAATTGAATCAATGTGACCCGTTTAATGCTGATGGAGACCTACAGTTCTGGGATTTTGGAGGTCAGTTTATCTTTTATGCAACACATACCTTATTTCACAGCAAGACTTCTGTTTATCTCATGGTTTTTGATTTAACCAAACCGTTATCAGCTGTTATACAGGATCCTGAATTTCCAAATGAAACTGTAGGAAAAAGCATGCAGGAGTTTACAGAATACTGGATGAGATCTATACATACGTACGTTGGGTCAGACGATGGCTCACAACCTCCAGTAATTCTTGTAGGTACTCATAAAGACTTACTTAAAGGCGATGAAAACATGAGACAGAAATTTGCAGACGATTATTTTGAGGAAATTAGGAAGCTTTTTGAGGATACGCCGATAATCAATCATATCCAGAAAGAGGATTTTGCTGTCGATTGCACCAATCCTTGTGACAGTAGTATTGTTGAACTGCGTAAAGCAATTATACGTCTTGGTTCTAATTCTAATAAAGGGAAACTTATTCCTGCAAGGTGGCTACCTCTTGAAAAAGAATTGCTTGCCAAGAAGCATAAAAAGATAATTCTGTATAGCGAAGTCGTGGAAATTGATGCACAAAATGAGTTTCCGCTTAAAAACAAAGAAACAATAAAAGTATTTCTTCTATATCAACATGCAAAAGGAAACTTAATTTACTTTGACGAAAAGCCGCTATCAGCATACGTTGCTCTTGACACACAGTATGTTATTGATGCATTTAGATGTATAATAACATCAGAGAGATTTTGCAAGAAAGAACCAGCATATCGTCATCTTTGGAGAAAAATTAGACAGGAAGCAAAGTTAGAAATGAAATTGCTTGAAAGAATTTGGAGTACAGATGCTAAACACAACTTTTTGGAACACAAATACGTGCTGCTGATGCTTATGCAAAGGCATCATATCATTTCCGAGGCCTTGAGTTATGACGACGAAACAGAAGAGACAAAAGGACTAGGGTGGTATGTTGTACCATGCTTTCTCCGTTCATATAAAACTAATGATGCTCTCAAAAAATTCGTCACTGGAAGTCAACAGACGAAGCTAAAGTTTGTAATGTCATTTTATATCTCTCCTGTTGTGCAAATAGTGTTTTATCGGGTCATTGCAGCTTTGGTTGGAAAATGGGAGATTGTTTCCATTAAATTTCCCAAACAAGAGAAGCAGGTGTTACTCTATGAAAATCTTGGTGTATTCAAAATAGACCGTCATCATGTCGGTATAATTGAACTTCACCAAGGTTTCATTGAATTACGTGTCCAGAACCGTTGTAATTCGGGTGTTAATGCTGCTATAGTCGACTTGTTTCGACGTTTTGTGGTTTCAAACGTCACAAACGAATTTCGAAAACACAGGCATGCAGCAATAAAGCAAGGGAAACCTTTTGATATATGCTTTAAGTGCAACGACAAAAGTCATTGCTTTGAGGGAAGTCAACAAATAGTGTCACTGGAAGAACTTAAAGAAACAATGGTTGAACCATGTCCAGATAGTTTGACCGGCCATACAATATGTACACGGCAAGCACTTTCTGAATGGTATCAAGACTACCAGAACATAAGATTGAAAACAGATTATGTCTTAGAAGAGAAATACCTCAGCAAACTATCTAAAACAATAGGTGAAAATTGGCACGTGCTTGGTCATGAACTTGGTTTACACGACGTAAAAATAGAACAAATAGAATTGGACAACAAATCAACAATTAGAATGATATTTAAGATGCTTCAGAAATGGTCTGTTCAGAAGGAAGACAATGCCACCTTCAATACACTTATACAAGCCATGAAAACAGCTATTGAAAAATATGTTGACTGGGATGAAGTGCGGAACATCGTAGAGGAAATAGAATCCAAAATATAGCATCGATTATCACAACATACAAGTAAGAATATATGATTTTGTCTCTACTAATGTCATAGACAAATTATAATATTTACGAATATTTGCCGAATTTATATAAATAGTTATTATCAAACTTATTTACAAGATATTTCGCCAAAGAATGTATTGAACTGATGATATTAAACAAATAATCTTCACATATAGGATATTTATTTCGATGTTCCATGTTTTTAATTGAACTAATTGATAGATACGTTGTTTTTAATATTTTTTATGTTATCAGATAATTTGTCAGTTTCCTATTCTTTTAATACATTTCTTTTCTTGAAGGTACTGTATACGGAAACTAAAAGACAGAATATGGCAATGACGTTCTTGCTCAGATAAGGTTAAAGTCATCCTGCTTCTTATTGGACTATCAAAAAGTATATTGAAAAAACGTATACAAGATTTTGAGGAAACTTAACGTTTTCAACAGAATATGGTGATGTCGTTGGAAATTAGATAATAATAATAATAATAATAATAATAATAATAATAATAATAATAATGATAATAATAATAACATCTAAAATAGCTTCTCAATTATTATTTCATTATCTTATCCGTTTTATTTTCGTTACTGTTTGTGAAAAATGTAAACCTCAGTACAAATTGATGTGCGATCTATATATTATATCTAATAACTTTCTTATTTTTCTATTTACTTGATGATAAATATTTAAGAAAATTAATATATTTTTTGTATTGATTGATAACTTTACAACATCTTAAATATGTTGATGTTTTGTTGTAATGAAAATGTAGAAAGAAAGCTTTAGCTTATTATCATGTTTATCAAATATCAGCTGCACGAATAACGGGGGTTTCCTTGCCTTAAAATTATTCACGTGACTAAACATTAGACAACAAAAAGTAAAATACGTCTGTTGTAATAGTACTCGCAAAATATTGGGTAAATACCCATCATGTTTGTATTTTACTATTAACGGAAATTTGTATTATATTAAATAAATTTAACAGTTTTTGTGTCGAAAATCATTCCAACAGTACCTTAATGAAATAAGATAATTGTTGTTTGTTGGACTAGGTACCATATTTGTGTGTTTTAGCAATTATCCATGTTTTTGTTATATCTCTCAAAGCAGCTTGTTGAAGGTTGTTTTTATCATGACGTGCTTTTAATAATGATTTTATGTGATTTTTTAAACAAATATTAAGCTGTGAAAGTTGATATAAATAAATTGTTAAAGTAACATGCCTCAAGATCCATACAACTTTTTTGAAAATTATTTAAAGAAAACAAAGGCATTATTTACATATTGTCCGTGCACTTACGCACTTATGGTCTTTACCATTAAAGAGGTCAAGATAAGAAAGAAAAGCGTTAGTCACGCAGCTGAAGTATTGCGATAAATACTGCAAATGCGGTCTTTAAACCCACATTATATGTATAAAAGTACGTGAATCTTGAATCTTCTAATTTTTATTTTCATTTATCTCAAGATCAATTTTCTTGAAATATTTTGGCTAGTTTGGAAACATGAAACTTTATTTGTTTTATAAAACTTGTATTGTTAATTTGATAGCAATGTTTTTTATAATACTAATTCATTGTATTACTTACCTGTTAATTTATTTGTACTAAGTGAATATCATTTGAAACATTTAAAACATAATTAAACTCAGCATAAGTCGTTATTATATCGTTTATCAATTTTTTAGTATCTAGTTTCTCTTTCATCTTTTAAACTCTAAATAAATAATATACTTTGGCTGATGTTTTTTTTTATTATCGAAGTACTAAAGGTAAAATTAACATACATTTGGGCGAGTGAAGAACTATATCAAAAGAAATCCTATTTTCTTTATGTTTCCTCACTACCTTTAATATATTACGATAACAATCAGTCTAAAAATAGCATAAACATACGATTTTCGAGTATATTGCTTAATTATCTTGACACATCTATTTTCTATAGTGCCCCAGCTAATCTATGAAAGAAAATTAGGTGTTATGTATTTAGGCTTTTTCGTCAGTGGAGTTTCTTTAATGAACTCAAAGCTTTGTTTATTATGATAATTTTGTCCAGTTATTTATTGATTATATATGTGCTTTATAGATTTGTGTGTTTTAATGATTATTATCATATGATGATGCATTTAAAGGATTAACATAGTTATAGTTATGCTTACACTATATTTTTATGATGTCAAAATGTTTACATATGCCATGCTAATGTTCATAACCATAAACCTTTGTATTCATATTGCAAGTTACTCATTTCACTACATTATTTATTTCGAAATTCTTCATGGGATTTGACAAATTTTACCATATGTTGTCTAACATAATCATGTGTACAAAAGTTAAATTAAAGTCAAAACTACCATCTCAGAAGCTAGTGAAATGTGATACGATTGTAACAAATATTAAATATGTTTTGCGTAAAAGTGATATCATTCAAATATAAAGAGTCATTTTAGCAGTGTTGTGTACATGTGTTACATATATATTGAAACCGTATTTTAGCAAGTTATTTTATATTATCCTTTTTTGTTCCTGAATTTATTTAAATATTGATTTTGGTTATGCTTTAATTTTTCACGTTATCTGTAAATACTGTATGATTACAACGTTTTATTTAAAATACTGGCAATGTTCTTTTAAACATGTTAAAGAACCAAATTAATTTGATAACTAATAAATGCAGTTTCCCAAACATAGTATGTGCTTTTCATTTTTTCAATGAGATATATTCAGTAAGAGTTCATTAAACAAATGATTGCAATAAGAGTATTTTATCTAACTGATGAACACATTATATCTTTATACACAAAACGAATTTTTTGTATGACATTGTTTTGTCGTTTTATTTTTTTCTTGTTCTTGGTGGAATAAATGAAAATGAATGTGATGTCATTCATGATTATATGTATCACGAAAGAAAATTAAATATAATCGTATTGTCAGTCGTTTCTGTTGATTCTAGTTGTTGAGATGTATTTATATTTTTTTAATTTAACTGATGCAAGGGTCATCCCTAAAATTCACTGAACACCAACATTTGTATGATTATATAAAGGCTGTAAATGTCATCATGTCAATAAGTAGAATTCAATTTCAATTTTCAAATTGTCATGTTCACACCAAGTTACCATGGCAAAACCAAGTCATCGTCTACAGAACATTAAGCGATATATTTTGTGAAGTTAATGGGCTATAAAAATGTAGGCCAATGCACATAATTACGTTAGACTTTGGAAAAAATATGTAATGTTGATCGTGTTTTTAAAGTTTTACATTTGTAAAGCAAAACATCATTTTGTCATACAGTTTAAATAAGTATGTACTTTTTTAAAAAAGACAGTAAATTTCTGTTAGCATCTAGATAAACGGCACGCGATATTCGGCTGAGGCCATTTGTTTCTTTATTTGTTGGTTCATTTTAGAAGTCATTTCATTTTGAAACAATTTCTTTAAAGCTAGGCATGGAACATTTAGTCATTTATTTGTTTATATGTGTTTGAGTTTTTTCTTATTCTTTTGCTAATGATATAATACTGCTGAACATGAATATAATATGCTGAACAAAGCTTTGTATTTTGACATTTGATGACCATTAACCCTTTTATTCAAATGAAGAAATGCTAACGATATTTGCTGTACGGAAAAATCGGAAATTTTGATAACTTATGAGCTGACACCCTTTTTGTTATCTCCTTTAGTTTGTTTGATTAATTTTTGGTTTGTTTTTCTTTGTTTGTTGTTTGTATAATTATGATACTGACTTTAAAGTCGAATATGAACATTGCCTAAATTTAATTAAATAGTATTTAATTGAGATAATACATTGACGGCATCACATTAAAAGTGATAGTGCCACATTGTCGTATTGGTAATTGATAGAAATATAAATACATTTTTTGGTGAAGGTGTTTTCAAATATTTAATTTCTGTAATCAATGAGAATAAAAACGCTGATATATTTGTTGTTTTTTTTTATTTGAAAGTTGTGTTTTTAATATGTTTATCACTCAATAATTACCCGATGATCTCAGAGTTTCCGAAACTAATGTTATGTCAAAATCACATATCATATATTTTGGTGTAGTACAGCCGTTTAGACTCAAAAAATACAAAACAATGCATAATCTTATGATTCAGGATGTATGATAAGTGAACATGTTCGGTAATTCTACAAAAAAAATATTTTGTAAGAGAAGGTACATTTTTCCAATTTTACTGTTAAGATATGTGATAATTGATAGAAAGATACAATGTAATTTTAACAAATTGAGACTAATAATAGACTTAGTAGTAAGTCTATGCCCCTTAACAATGGATAGCAACAATTAAGCGTGGAATTGGTAAAATTTATGAATTTAAATGGGTCACACACAGCTGCAGTCTTCATACAATGGTGATCATTTAATAAAAAACGGTGTATTGTCTTCGTATGTCCTAACCTCGGAATTAATGGGAGAACATTAATCAAATGGAAATACAAGAAAAGCATTGGTGCAAAGCATCAAAGGGCGACGCCAAAAGAATTTGATCCAGGTTTGCACCTAAATACTTAACAAAAGATGTGTACTTTATAGCAATACTATTTCATGTGACCTGGAGGCTAGGCCAAGTTTAAGTTGAAACTTAAACCAAAAAGAATAGACTCTGTCTTGCCAAAATGCAAAGACAATTTATATGTCTTGCCAAGATGCAAAGACAATTTATAGTCAATTAACCAATCTTAAGATTTATTTTACCAGATACAAGGATACCTGAGTCATCATCATCAGATGAACACAGGTTTTTTTTATCAATCTGGTCATATTTTTTCTTTCTAGGGCTGATACTTGTACCTGTGCATATAATAAAAGCTAATTGCTTAGGGTTGCAGACATGTCATTGAAATATATAAGACATAAAAGAGGACCTAAAATGAACATCAGGGGGACACCATAGGTACTCAGGTCAGTAGTAGAAGGAGTACCAGCCACATCAACCAGCTGCTATCAGAGATAAGACTTGAACCATGTAAGAATGTTATAACATATGGCAGATGCTTGAAGTTCCATGAAGAAGAAGAAAAAGAACTTCTTCATGTGCAGTATAGTGTGATCAACTGTATCAAATGCTTTTTGTAGATCTAAAAGTATCATGCAATACTGCCTTTTTCCATTTCAAATTAAATGCACTCTATTAAATGAATCAAACATGTGTCAGTTGAAAAACCACTTCTAAACCCGAGCTGACTGAAACTGCCTAACCATGACTCGAACACATGATTTTCAGAAGACCAACTGAGCTATCCGGCCGGCTACACATTTTCTCTTTTATAATGAAACAGTTCTAAACCACAACATATTTCCCCACTATATTGATTTATGTCCTTGAATTTCTGATGTTTACATAGCATAGTGAATTAAACTCATGGTTATATGCAGTCACAGGATGAGAAACACTTTCAGCTTGACCAGAACTCAAACCTGTGACCCACAGAATAATGTACCGCGGCTGTAGCGATTGAGCTATCTGGCCGCTTACACATTTTCTCCCCTAAATAGTGTACAGTTCTAAACCGTGACAGATATTTAGATTTTTAAATTAACAGATAATTAATTCATAGTTAATAAATAAGAAAAAAAAACCTTACATACTCATAGTCTTAATTAAAATAACAATTTATATATCATTGTATAATTATTTTTACTAAAAAGGGCTTAGACAGTTATTGGTTGTGCCATTATTTATAACAGGTCAATTTGAAAGTGAACATAACTGTGCTTATACATGTACAATATCTATCTTTTGTACAGATAAAAAACTAACCTTTTTTCTATGATAAGAAATTTTATGAAGGCTTATTTGTATTTTGTATCAAGGGCACCGGGCGAAAACATGAAAATGCAACAAACGAACCACTTTGTGGTAGATTGTATTTTCATGTTTTCATCTTGCGCCCGGTTACTTTTTGTACTTTGTTGGTTTTCATGTGGCACAAATCACCCACTATAAAATTAAGTGTACAAATTTATTCAAGGGCAAGTAACAATCTACTCTATGAAAAGTCTGTTGTCGGGTTGACTCAGGAGACCTGGAGATTGAGACCGGTGTCCCTCCATTACAAATAGATAAGGCAGAAGCTGTCCTTTTAAAACTATGCACATGTTAGAAAAAAATTAGAATATTCAGAATATGATTTTTTTGAGACTTTATCAATAATATTGCTTGATTCAGGTTTCAGGACATTTTCAATCAATACATGTATTATCATTTATAACTTTAAATGAAAGTCTCATCCCTTTAATAATAATGACATAACTGTAACTCTTTAAATTCAGAAATATTATAAGTCTCATCATATCAATATACTAAGATATACATGTATGCACATAACATTAATAATTCCCAGTTTCTATTAAATAAATATGAAATCCTAACATTAACATTAACATTGGTACTAATGGATGGAATTCAAAATCTAGTAGAAAGAAAACTATAATATATAAACTCTGTTATAGATACTATTATTAGCCAGCTAACACTGGGTATAAACATCTATAACCTGTAGACTGATCAATACATGTATTATCATTTATAAATTTAAATGCAAGTCTCATCCATCATAACTGTAAGTCTTTAAATACAAAAATACACATTATATCCATATACTACGATACACTTGTATGCACATTACATTAATTATAATTCTCAGGTTCCATTAAAAATAAATATAACATCCTATTAACATTGGTGTTTGGATGGAATTCATAATCTTGTAGAAAGATGTACATGATATTGTATAGTATAAAAGTAAAAAAAATCTCAATTAGTCTATATCATATAATAAAGATTAAGTTGTGTGAGTGTCTAAACATTAAATGCATATCTCTTACAGTAACAAATACTGTCCCTCTTTTAACCTTCCATTAGACTTTACTATATAACTAACTGCATATATATATCAAGTGTTTAAAATGAGCACCTATATGTATAGCTTAAATATTCTACCTTTCATTTTTACCAAAGGTTATTTTATTAACAATTTATATACAAACACATAGAAAATAATAATTTCACATATTGATTAGAAGATTTCTCTAGCAGAATACAGATAGGTATGTACAAACTGAACAAACTAGAAAAATCTGGTCAAAGGTATATAAAGCCAGTAAAAAATATATATATCAATATTCACTCATCAGGGCCTCTATGCTTTTGATGACCTTACAACTGGTAAATTTTATAAAACAAAAATAGTAAGTAATACCTAAGATAGACAGAAAAGAACAAATAATTTAGTAAACATGAGTTACTTCCCCTTAAAATAGAGAAAACCTGAAACCCAAAAGAACACCCTAAACATCAAAATTAAGAAATGTTGCAGGCTCAGTTTTATTAAGCCATGCAAATTCATGGTAAAGTATTCATAAAAAATAGATGGCCATGTGACAGCAGTAATTGCAGAAAATCGGATAGCTTTCAACATCCGGATACTAGTACACCTTGTAAAAACAACCATTCTGTGCAACAGATAAACGTAATATGGATAAAATCAATAGGATAATCGTTTACAACAGTCCATTACCTATCATTATACTTATTTGCAGGTGAACTTTCTTCTTGTAGGAAAATTTTGAAAATATATAAATGAATGAACGAAGGGATACGGCATCAATGTAGTCCACAACGATATTCGAAATGCGGGTTTTAGTATTGTCAATAAAACTAAGGGACAAGCTGTTAAACTGAGCCTGCAATTTCGTGAAAATAATATCACAATGCACATGCTTTATATATAAAGTTATTAAATGCAAATATAACAACATATTTGTTTACTTGATTTTTACGAATCAAAATAAATATAATTAAGACAACATGAAATTAACTGCTAATAATAACAGCTCCTTCCATAGGCCAAAATAAAAAGCATTCCATAAGAGACGACGCCGCTCACCGGCGTCGCCAATGAAAGGGTATCAGATGTTATAAGGTATGCGTATCACAGACGTCTACCAAAAGACACATAGAAAACTCTGTCAATATCATTATGGTGATTTAAAAATATTGAAGTAGGAATACTGCAGCCACCAATCTCAATACAAACTTACTCTAGTGGCTTTTCTTTAAATTCATGACACTGGTCATTTCCCCAAAGACCGTCTAGTCATATGTGTCTACAATTTTCATTCGAGCCAATATTTTCTTATCTTCCTGGTACCAAGCTTTAAAAATCAGATAACCGTCAGCAGACGGTTGCTTGAATACCAGCGCCAAATGAATAAATTACATACGGGCAATACAATTGTGAATATATAACTATGAAACTGAACTTGTTTACATTATTAAGATATAATAATGCACTCAAACTAATTAATGCTCTAAAATAATCTTTATTGTACTAATTTTAAAATATGTTCTTATTCGATCACATACCTCCTTTGTCGCCTGGTTTTAGTAACATCATATGAACCATAAGTTTTTAATAATGAAGCAATTTGAAATAAAAAAACTAAAAGCTGTGGTCGTTTATTTTCCTTGTTTTCTTGTTAACATAATAGTCATCATAGCAAGAAAAAAACGTATGTAACAAAATGTATACTGTTTTATCAACAGATATAATTACAGCCCTCTATACTAAGTCTTGAAATTTAATCTTACTGTATCAATGAAAGCATGTTAAATGTCTGGTTGATTAAAACACAATAATACTACTTCAAATACTATTCATTTAAAATATACTTTGCATTTATGATCATATTAAGAAGAAAATCATGTTCATTCCCATCTATTTATCTCAGGACTACTTTAAAGTGCACTCTTCATAGAAACGTTAGAGCATGATTGCAATTACACTCGGTTTTAAGATGAATACGCTTTACAGATAAGTACCATAATGAATTCCATGATGGATATGGGACTACAGCTAAAGCGATGCTTGAATTTGTATTACCTACGGTCATAACGAGTTATTCCAGTAGAAATGA